GATGTTGCTTCATGTTTGATATAATTACTTTAAAATTCGGACTTTTTGATGTAAGAGTAATTTGAATACAGTCTTCGGCGTTTAATCGATTTCTGTTTTTCGTTTTTATGTTTTCTTGAAAAGTCTTGTTCACAAAGGTAGGTTGTTGCAAATGGCAGCAATTTTTTTTACCAAAAAGACGACAGATTTGCTTTGGTCTCAAATTGAATACGTGCTTCAGTATTGGATCGAAGTTCAAGAATTACCTCTGCCAAACCTGGAGGTTCTTCTGGTATGTTAGTAATTTCACATTTAAAAAGATCTACAACCCAATTCACAGTTTAAACATCAAGATCTGGAAAGTAGTCAGAGAACCGCTCTCTGAGTTTGCTAAGATGAAATTAGAAAAATTTCCCTATTACCCAAAAAAAATTAATTTTTACCCCATTTTGGGTAATTTACCCCGGTTCCCCGACCGCTGTCTTAGACTATCATATTAAGATTCTTATAAGACTATGTTCATCTTTGACGGTTTTATTGAGATCACTTCTAAATACTCATTGTACTTACAAAGTTAATTCTTATTAATACGGACGGGATGGGAGTTTGAGGAGTAAGGCAAGGTTTTGAGAAAACACACCGCTTCAGGTTACTGTTTTCCGTGGGATCTGTCTATTCTTCAGCTTGGTCTTATCAGTTGAAAATAGGAAGGAATGTTACAAACGGTCACTGCCTTCCGTGGGATCTATTTATTCTGCATATTGATTCTGTTAATCACCTATAATTTAGTGGTTGGACACAACAAGAGGATCTGAAACAATGAATGCTCTGAAAACTAAAAGAAATGTGATCATACGCATTCATCGAGACAATGTTCTTATTTCATAATTTTGTGAAATACTAAATTGTTCAGTGTTTTTACTCTATTTTTCTTTATATTAACCGATTAATTATCCGAACAGTAACATATACATATAATAAATCATACATATATAAAAGGAAACGTGTATGTTGAAAACATATATCTGGGAAAACGAACCACCACGTGAATTTGAAATATGAAAAAATGTTTCCCTTCCCTCCCCCGCACATTCCCCTTGGCCCTGTTAAACGTAAAATATGGACAGTTTATTTTAAACGGGCGAATTTATCAAATTTTACAAGCACAGAAAATGAAAATAAATGTGGAATTATGGAATGCAATTGAGGGTAATATTTTATGGAATTGCACATAACACGCGACGTTACATTTCGTTGTATAAAATA